AGGCCTGGAGTCAATTATTATAGTATAGGGATCCCCCCAAGAAAGCACCCCAAACTTTGAGAAACACCCTGGTCGTAATTTGGCCATAGTCAAAGGCAATTTCAGGAGGGTGGTTTGCATCATATGAGGCTCACAGTGGCTTACATAGCTCTGCTGTTATCCTAGTCGTGTTTATCGAAGCCTTGTCTAAGGAGAACAAGGTCGTCACTACCCACTTGACAAGCAACCTAATCTAAATTTATTGGCTGATGGCTTTCTATCTTTCTTTGAAGTGCTTGTAAGAATGCATGAGTCTCCCTTAAAAAGCGCCCGTGCAATTCTTAAGAAGCCTTGAGAACCACTACAGACTTCTCAGGTATCCGTGCCATAGCAGACCCTATGCCCTAAATCCTAAAATCCTAAACCCTAGACCCTAAAACCAAACCTAAGCCCTTTGCCCTACACCCTAAAATCCTAAACTCTCAGCCCTAATCCGTGCAGCGACCTTTAGGCCTCTACTTGTTTTCTAAGCCTACATGGGGTCTTACCACACGTAGACACGAATGATACCAAAGCCCCAAACTCCTGAATCCGACATTCCTAAACCCTAAACCCCAAAATCCGCCATTCTAGAAACTCAGACTCTCAAAGCTTAAGCCCTCTTCCAGACCCTGTGTCCTCAGACCCGACCCTAAGACCTTCAACCCTAAACCCTAAAACCCTCAACCCTAAAACCCTCAAACCCCTAAAAGCTTAAACCCTAAAACCCGAAAACCCCTAAAACCTTAAACCCTGAAGCCTGCAAATTGAGCTCCTAAACAGGTGGCTCCTGAGAACGTCGATGGTTTGGTGCTGAGTGGAGGTTGCGTGCTGAACCGGATTTCAGGGTTGAGAGTTAAGAGGATTCGAACTTACTGGTGCTTAGTAGAGAACAAGGGAATACAAGGTTTAGGGTTACGGGTCTGGGGGTTCGTGGGGAGTCTGGGAACACTTTCTACGAGGATTATATAACGGGGATTCTTGTTCCCTTATTCCCTACTACAAACCAGTAAGATAAGGGATTTCAAGGTTTTCATGGGAGGACTCCCTAAACCCTGAACCATGGACCCTAAACCTTAAACCCAAAGCGCCAAACCCTAAACCCCAAACCCTAAACCCCGAGAATTTTTGGGAAAAATCCGCAGGTTGCGCGCTGAACGTTTTGACAAACCAGCGCCTTCACGACCGAGTCTGGGATTCTCTAAGAATTTAGGGTGTGGGTTTCAGGGTTTAGGGATTTGCATCTCAGCAAATTTAGGATTTAGCATTGAGTAGAGTGAACTCAGAGTAAAGGGTTTCAGGCTTAGATTTCAGGGTTTGGTGTTGAGGGCTTGGCTCCAATCATACTACGAAGGCTAAACAGTGCAAACCAATGGAAGCACGTACTCCTTTTGAACCCTAAACGCTAAGCCCAAAATCCTAAATCCTAAGCCCGAAACCCTAAACCCTCTCTGCCTACTTACCTACTTACCTACCTACCTACCGACCTTCCTACTTACCTCTATATATACATATTCCATTTATTTTTACATATGTACCTAAAAAGGTCAATGAGGCTGCGCTGTGAGTTTTGGGGTTTTAGGGTTTTAGGGTTTTAGGATCTGGGGTTTAGGGTTCAGGAATTAGAATTTCAGGGTTTAGGATTCAGGATTTAGGACTTCGGGCCTTAAACCCTAAACCCCTAAACCCTAGAGTTCAAGTTCCTGGAGCCTCGGAGGAGGCCCCTGAAAGCCCTGGAGCCCTGCCCCCTGAGGTCCCGAAGTCTAGGGCTCTGGAGGGTGGAGAAAATTTTTCCCCTCAATTTTCCGGTGTCCCAAACATGGGCGTTCAACACTAAAGATGATTGTGACTGTGGGATTTAGGGGACTCGTGAAGGTTGCGAGCGAAGGAAGAAAAAAAGGTTTTGATGTTAACTGAACAGAAATTCTCCCAGGCTGGGGTGATATTAAAACGCCTATATTTGCGTGGATTTGAGACGCTGAGCCCTAATCCCTAACTATTAAACCCAGGACTCTAAACCCCTAAACCCTAAAACCCAAGAGCCCTAACCCTAAACCCAGGACTTGCAAAAGATTGGCCGCAGCTGGAAGGCTCCTACGCCTCACGTGTGTAAACTGGGCCATTCTTGGTAGCAATGTCTCTGATTTATTGAAGGGTTCTATTTCAGCGGGGTCCCTGTAAAGGGGACGGGTCAGGGGTTCAGGGTTTATGATTGACGGGGTTCTAATTCAGTGGGGTCCCTTGAAGGGGGATTGGGGTTTAGGGTTCAGGGTTGTTTAGATGTTACCGCAATAATGGAGCATTCAAGGACTAGGGTTTTCAAAATTGGGAGTCTTATTGTGGGGGTACCCAGAATATTGATCATGGCATTTGGGGGCGTACTTGGGGTCCCTACTTTTGGAAATCTTTCATATTTCCCTCGTTCCTTGGCGGGATAATCCTGATATGTCGGTCCCCTACCCTGAGCTAAAAACCTTAAATCCAAAGCTCTGCACCTTAAATCTCAAACATCAAACCCCATATCCTACACCTTAAATCCTAAACCCCAAGCCCTAAAACCAAACCCTAAATCCTAAACCCTAAACCCTAAATTCTAAACCCTAAGCCGAAAGCCGCAGCAAGGTATGTGCCCCCGGCTCCGAATGATTGTGGCTTGTCAGTTGGAGGAATCTGAAGCTTCCAGGGTTGTACCAGGGTTAGGGTCCAGGGTTTAGGATTTAAAGGGTTTAGGGAAGTTTAGGGTTTAAATTTAGGGTTTAAGATTTTGGGTTGAGGGTTTAGGATTTTGGGTATACGGTTTCGGGGCTCCAGACAGTTCCCCACATGTGATCCCCGTAAAGCCCATAAACCCCGCTGGGGTCAGGCGAGCTAATGGAGCCCCCGAGGTTTCCCCAGAAGGACGGGATACATTACGGGTACAACCCTTGAACCCTTGAGGACTCTGGGCCGTGAGCCCTCCCCACCGTGGAAGCATGGTTGCCAAGGGGGAGCAACTGCCTCCACCTCAAACACTGCAGTATTTGGGTGCTTTGGGCGGTTCTTGCAAACCGTTTCTTTTTTTACCTCTTGCATGGTAATCTTCTGACGGGGTTGGGGTAGTCTAGAAAATCCCTGTTCCGTTGTTTAGGCCGTTTAGGCTTCCTTGTGCTTATAAGGTCTGGGAGTTCGGGAGAAGGGCTTGAAAGCTCGATCATGAAAAACCGAACCGCACCAAACTCCTGAGGCCCCGCAAAATCTTGAAGCCTCAGAACTCCCAAACGCCAAATTCTACAACCCAAACTAGCTAAACCCTGCCACCTCAAACTGAACGCTTCGCCTAACCCCGAGCCCAAGCACTGAGGCCTTAGGCCCTCTATCCTAAACTCTAGGGTCTAGGTCTTTTAACTTAGGCTTTAGGTTTTTTGGCGCTAAGCCCTAAACCCTAAACCCCAAACCCTAAACTCTAAACCCTAGACCCCAAACCCTAAACCTTAGACCCAAACCCTAAACCCTAAACCCTAGACCCCAAACCCTAAACCCTCAACCCCATGCAACCTAAACCTTGAACCCAGGCTTCCGCCTATGGGACGAAGATATTTTGGAGCGCGTGGCCCTGAAGCGAGGCGCCCGAAGGCTCTCGAGCTCCTCGGATGTACCTACTGTGACGGTTTAGCTTAGGGTTTAGGGTGGAGGGGCTTAAGGCTTATGGGTTAGGGTTTAGGGATTAAATGAGGGCTTATGGATTAGGCCTTCGGGCACGGTGTTGCGATGTATAGGATTCAGGGCTTATGCAGGGCTTATGCCCTCCCCCAGTGTTCGTTACTGTGGGTCATTGTTAGAACCACTGCAACCTGCATATCTGTATATCTTGTAGTAGAGACCTTTCTAATAGTACTTTAGCTTTGTTGGGGTCAGGCTTTTGTGGAGACGATGTTAGTTCGCTGCGGGCCATTGTTAGAAACATTCTTACCTTCACAGACCAGTACTCCTATCCTAGCACTTTAGTTTTTCGTGTGCGGCTAGGCGTTGTTAGTGTAGATGCAGCCATCAAACTGTGTTTGTAGTCTGGTTGTTAGGAACAGCCTAGTAGATCTTTGACAGACTAAAGCCCAAGAAGGAAATTTAGAGCATGTTTTCCAAAAATAACCTGATAAGGTGCCAGTACATCCCCTTAAGTACCAGACTTCACCATCCTTGCGAGCAAAACATGTTGGATTCTGGCAGGGTTTGGGTTTATGCTTCAGGGTTTGGGCTTAGTTCGTGGCTTAGGGTGGGGGATTTGTGGCTCCGAGCTCTGGGATTGGGTTTATATGATCCAAGGTGTAGGTTCAGCCTTCTTGTGAGGTCAACAGTTAGGATGAAAGTGTACGGACTAAAAAGGCCTTGGTGGAATCGACTACCTGGCCGACTTGCTGGCAGGCTCGCAAGGGACAAGAATTGCTTTTTTGGGACTGGAGGGTTTAGGTGTGCCATCTGCAAAGTAATATGGAACTCCCCACAAAAGGCCCTGTGAAGACCACAGTCTTTTAAAAAGGGTCCAGATGGGTTTGACCCTAGGGTCTAGGAAGTATTGATGGTAATCCTAGTCATCACAACACCAGCCCCTAGCAAAAGAAACAGAAACAATAGTAAACCCTAAACCCTAAAATGCTACCAGTGGCTCTGCGATCTCTGCGGTTTCTCAGATTAAGATGTAGCTGCAAAAAAGGGCCTATCAAGACAGTTGTTCTTTTGAAGGGGAGGTATATCCTAAACCTTCAATCGCAAACCCTACGCCCTTGGGTTCGATTTTTTTGGAAGGATAACAGTTTCTGAAACCTGAATGGGGATATCCTCCTTACAGTAACTCTCCTGAAAATTATAACTACCAGTACCCGTTGTGGTACCCAAGCCCTCAGCCCTAAATCAAATCATGAACCCGAAGCTCTAAACCCTAAGCCCTAGACCCTAAGCCCTAAGCCCTAAACCCTAAGCCCTAAACCTTTCTGAAATCTTCATGGCAGGTGGTCCAGCATGGTCAGAGGGAAGTGCCCTAGGCAAGAATCAGACAAACAACATTAGGATTCAGGGCTCAGGGTTTTAGGGTTTAGGGTTTAGGGTTGAGGGAGGTCGGTGTTTGGGGTTTGGGCTTAGGTTTTAGAGTCTAGGGTTCAGGTTTCTGGGTCTATAGTCCCCCTCAAGTAGATAGAATATGGCTTAGGGTATATTATAATAAGATCCCCATACCCCATAGTCTATCTACTTAAGGGGGAATATAGTTTTTTAGGATTTGGGTTTCAGGGCGCAATTCAGGGTGTAAGGTTTGGGGTTGAAGCTGAGGGCCTCTAATCGGCCGTGGCCAGCAGTTGCTTAAGGTTTTAACAGCATCTGAACCCAAAGCCCGAAACCGCAGATTTGTGCCCTGAACCCTTTAAACCCTAAACCCATACGCCCTAAACCCTAAATAGTAGCTTCCATGTTTTTTCCATTATCCCAATATAACCGCTGCCCTAAACTAAACCTTCCTAGCCGCAGACAGGCAGGAATGAAAGCAGCCCTCTGCCAGAGAAGCCCATCATCGCAGTTATCCGTGGGCGTCACTTGGGCCTGTGGGCAGTCCCCAGAAATCAATGTCAGAATTTCTCAAATGACCTTCAGAGTGTAGGGTAGAGGGTCCCTGAATTCCGCCAAAAGATGTCTATGATGGGGGTACCCCTGCGTGATAAACCTCTACATACCGGGTCCCGATACTTGCGGCCGGACTAGTTGTAGTAAATTTCTATGCGTAAATGAAACGTTACATATTTTTTCGCAACCTTGAGGACAAAACAGATGGCCTCACGCACCCTAAACCCTACACCCCAAATTGCGTGGTTAAGCCTAAGTTCGACAAAGGGTTTTGCTGGTCCCTCCCGTGCCCTGGTCTGTAAGCTCCCTGTTGAGGAGTAGGGTTTTGGGGATGTTTCGGATTGAGGGTGTAGGGAGTTGGCGCTCGAGGATAAAGGGTTTAGGGGTCAGGGTTGAGGGCTTAGGTTTAGGGTTTAGCCCTACACTCTCTTGACAACGAACCATCCTTCGGATCTCTTTAGCCCTGAAGCCTTAAACCTCACCCATACATACATTCTCCCAAATGGAACCAGAAAAGGGGTCCTGTTTAAAACGGGGGCCATATGAGCCTCCATGTTAGTTTGGGATGGCCTTATCCTAAAACCCTAAGCCTAGCATTCTAAACCTTATATGCCTTAGGTCAAGAGTTTGGGCCCCGGGCTTTGGGCCACCGATCCCTGTTGGCTGTTCCGGACTCTGACGAGATACGTGTCCGGATGAACCGGCTAAAGGCCGGGCATTTCTAAAAAAAGAATTGATCTTTCGTTTAGTAGCGGTTGCATAGTGCTGGACTAGATTACTAGAGTCGGGTTCAGGGTTTAGAGTTCTAGACTTGCTTTTGCAATCTCAATGCCATGTCCTCCAAGTCCAAATCTTGAACTATTCACTCAACACTTTCATTCTTAAACCGTGCCCTGAACCGTCCAAAGCTTAGCCATATACCATGAAGCCCTGCACCGGTTCGCCCCAAAAGCTTGTGCCCTACACCTTGGAAGGCCCTGAAATTCCGTGGAAGATCTAGGCCTTAGGGGCTTTAGGTTTCAGGTTTTTCACCTTAAGGCATACACATTACACCTCTAAACCCTGAGTCCTGAAACCCTATGCTTCAGAGTTTGTACACTTAAACCCTTTACGCCCTTAAACTCTAGACTTTGAACCCCCAACTCTAAGCTCCAATTGAAATTCACAACACGATTCGAGGTGCGGCAATGGTACCGACCGGTCGCTCCAATGATTGCAGCAGAAGACCTGGTCAAGGTTGGGTGGGTTTAGGGTTTAGGGAGCTGTGGGCTAAGGTTCAGCGTCGAGGGTTCGGGGTGTAGGCCTTAGGGTCAAGGTTTAGGAAAAAGAGTTCAGTGTTGAGGGTGCAAGATTTAGGGTATTAAGTTCAGAGGTTATGGCTGAGGGGCGTTTTAGGAAAATCAAGTTAAATTGGGTCTAAACTGTACGAATGGTGAGAATCGAGCAAAAAATGCACACGGAAAATGACACGGAAACTAGGATTGCCTCGGTGGTCTATAGGAATCTGATCAGGGCTTTCCAAACTTGGAGTTTTTGAGGGCGCCCATATGAGGGTTTCCCCAAATTAGGGGGTACCTTCTTGGAGGCACCCGTAATAAGGACTATAGAATTTTTGGGTCTATATTGGAGTCCCCTTATTTTGGGAACGACCATCTATGGGATTATAGTATTTCGGGGTATGGAATCAGGGAGTCCCAATTTCTGGAGCTGCTCGAGGTTGTTGGGGTTCAGGACTTTGAAGCTTGTTACCTTGCTCTACCATAGTACCAGAATTCCTGAGGTTTGAGGAACTTAGGGTCATGCAGGACTCGACCCTAAACCTTAATTCCTGGACCCAAAACCCCTAAACCCGGAATCCTAAACCTTCAGCCCTAAATCCTAAACCCTAAACGTTACAACCTAAACCCTAAACCATACACCCGAAAGCCATAGGATTAACTTACTGGTTACATAGATTGGCGGGATCTGGGGGAGATGGTTTCAAGGACCGCAGATCCGGCCAAGGCTTAAGGGCCGGTTTGCAGCTTTCAACGCTCACCTGGTGCATTCTCTTAAGTGCTAAGGGTTTAGGGTTCTATTTGGGTTATATTGGGATAATGGAAAATAAAGACAACGACTATGTAGGGTTTAGAGTTTAGGCTTCAGGGTTTAGGGCTAAGCATGAAGGTCCCAGGGTTTTCTTGTTCTGGAGATTCTTCCATAGGGCACAGGGTATAAGTTGCGCCTGCGTTGCAAAGGCGTGGGTATAGTGCGCAGGGCTTGCTACCGGTAGAATCAGGTGTGTGTGACAGTTGTTTGATCAATCTTCTTGGGTCGTCTTTCTGAGACAACAAGTATCAGAGAAAAAAGGATATGTTGGGGACCCCAAACAGATAATCACAAGAATATATTAGGAATATACCTTGAATGTAAGTACCCGGGCAGGTATATTCCTAGTCTATCCCTACTATACTCTTGAGGTTCCCTGTTTGGGGTCCTCATTAGAGCCTGTTTATTTGACTTCTGCAGGTCTTTGGTCGGGAGGTTCCCTCCCCCTACATGACGATGGCGCCCCGCGTTCTGGATCACATTCGGGAGCAGTTCCCCGCACTGGCACACTTGGATGGAACTGCTCGCCATCAGTCTGTTGGGAAGAGCGATGAACCATGGCTGAATGCTTTGTTGCTTGCCGTCGGGCGACGGACAGGGCTGGCAGCTTTGATCAATACAAGCTTCAACACGAAAGGCCATCCGATAGTCAACAGCGTCACTTGGCCAGCAATGCGCCTTTCAGTGCAAAAGAGTTTTGAGGTAAGCACTTTTCAATCTCAGGATCGTAACAGTTCCACCCAGTCCTTTAAAGATGACAGGGCCCCTCAAAATTCTGCAGCAGCTGTGAGAAACCTCCAAGACAAGCAAAACCACTGGGCACTTGTGTCTTGAATCCTCAGGTCACAAGCATGCCTGCTTTGATACGTCCCCAATTCCATAGCCCTTCAAACCCTACACCAAAAATTTCTAAACTCTAAAATCCCAAAGCCTGCAGCCCCCAAAATCCTCAATATGGTGGATTCCATGTGCTCTACAATTCCCTACACGATATGAACGCCCTCAGGTGAGGGAGAGTCTGAAGCTGCTGGATGATCTGCCGGACCTGGACTTTGTCCTCATTGAGGATTGGCTGTTTCATAAACGGCGGAGGTTCTAGGTCCGAGGGCAACCGCCAAAGAAGAAAAAGACATGACAGGCCTCGGGGTTTGGGAAAACGGGGAGAGCGAAACATAGCGGGAGAGAGTCGGAGAGGGCCGGGATGTGTGCTTTCGGGGCCATTCAGAAGTATCCTCCCTACCCGCAACTGGGGGCTTCAGCTTGTAGATTGTTGACCTGCAAGTAAACCCTCGGTGAGGGTGACAGGGATAAACGCCACATAAGCTATAGTCTAAGCTCCTTAAAGGGGGTATGTATATAGGGGATTATATAGGGGACTACTATAGGGGTTATTACGGGGATGCTAGGGGTTTAGACTGTAGCTCACATGGGGTTCGGAGAATTGACCGTAATCCAAGCACAAAACCCACCACTCAAAAGCAATTATATGGCAATTGTCAGGTTCGCCAGGGTTACTGAGGGTCTGGGTCCCGAACGGGCCCCCCACCCCTTTCGAAAAGCCAGATACGTACATGACCTGAGTTTTTTTTTCTCAAAGCCTACACTGCTAAGTAAGGTGACTTTCAACACGTTGTTATTTTTCTTAATGTTGTTTTGCCATTGCTGTACTAGTATTGTAATCATCATTGTTACTCTTATTATTCACGTAAATATTTCTTGCACAATGATCCCAAGCAAGGAACCCTGCTTTCTAGAATCACACTATTACAGGGTAGGGGGTCCACCTAGGTAATATGACTGTTTTGTGACGTTGACATAGTATTAGAATCCTGGGAAGCGCAAAGCAAAGCACTTCCAACCTGGCGTTAGCTCAATCCGTGACCTTCATTCTTAAACATTCTGAAGCCCCAACCCTGTTCTCTCAAACTCTGAAGTCTCGAAATCGAAATCCCTAATGAAATCCCTAATGCCCACACGAACCTACTGAAGCGCAAAACTTCAACCCTAACTAGAGCCCAAAACCAGGCCCGTAAACTTTAAATTCTGCACAAACCCTGCTGAAGTGCTTAGTTATTCATAGCTTCCTGCATACCACCCCCAGGCACAGACATCAGGCCTTCAAAACATGCATAAATCGCAGTCCAGGTCAAAAATGGTGTTTCCCAACAGTAATGGTACCATTTTAGGGGCCCCTCGAAGAAGGATTGTAGTACATTCGGGCTTATATTGGGGTCCTCCTACACACGGAAATTAGCCGGGGGAGCTGCCCGGAAAGTGAGGAATGCTCATCAACGTAGCTTTAGAACCGGAAGGCTGAACCAACAGCTTTGGGGTTTACGGCTTTGGGTTTTGGGTTTAGGGCTTCGGGCTTAGGGCTTAGGGTTTAGGGTTGAGGGTTTAGGGTAAAGGTCGTAGCGCACGAGAACACAACAAGACTGGGACCTTGAAACCAACAACCCGCCCACGACAGGATCTGGAACGTGAAGCCTAGCAAGCAGAACAGCATAATGGAGGGGCCTAAATAATTACCAATACTCCAATAGTATGGTTCCATATTCCGTATATGAATATGGTCTATGTCTATGGTACCTCAAATGGGCCTGAAAATGATATTGGCTACTTATTTTGGCCCCTGTAGTAGCTTGATTGCCTTATGCTGTGGTTCATGTAGTTTTCGTTACTTGATGTATTAGATGGATGGACAGGAGAAAGACCAAATCATTTGGGTACAGGGTTATGGGAGGTGACATAGCTTGAAAGTTTACTGTAGGTTCCCCTAAACCCTAAACACGAAAAAGCCCAAAAAGCCAGGAAGCTCAGGACTCCCAAGCTTTTTAGGGTTTAAGGCCTTTACCTTCCAAGGCCTCAGTCCCAAACACCCGCCGCCCTACGACATTGGGGAGAAGGTCACCTGAGTAGGATTTTTCTACTGGGTTGCTGTTAAGGAATTTAAACTGAGTTACGGAAATCCTGCTATTGACTATACATGCATATATTATGGTAACTTAAACTAAGTTCCTCAGCAGTAACCCAGTTTTCCATGTTTGATGGAATAAGGTGACATCCTCCTTTTAGGCTTCCAGCTTTATGTGGGAAATGAAGCCTTGCTTGGTTCCATCATCAACATACAGTATTCGATTTCTGCTTCATTTGATTCTCCATGATTGGAGTACCAACCTAAAATCCACAGCCCGAAGCCCAACTCTATGCCAAACCCTAAACCCCTAAACCCTAAACCCTGAATCCTAAACCCTCAACCCTAAATCCTAAACCCTAAACCCTAAGTCCTAAATCCTCAACCCTCAACCCTCAACCCTACTATCTACTAATCTGCCGGCGCAGCGCGCAGCTCCGCGCCATGCGCATGGAAGCCAAAACTCCGCAGGAGGCGGCGTTCTGGGGTATCCTGCGTGGTTTAGGGCTCAGGGTTTAGGGTTTAGGGTTTAGTGCTTAGGGTTTGGGGTTTAGGGTTTAGGGATTAGGGCTTAGGGTTTAGGGCTTAGGTGAATAACATGGAACCCCAAAACACAGGACTTTATATAGGGGAGAAGGTAGGGATATAGATGTATAGGGATCGGGAATTCTGGGTACTTCTCAAACTACGTACCGGTTATTCGTTGAAGGAGCAGAAAAGAAAAGGGACATGTTTATGCTATAGGGGGTGATACACGTCCTGAGATCAGGATCTCTTTCTCCATTCCCGACCAGCAAGTAAGATTATGGATCCCTTTCTTGGACTGAAAGGTGCTACATCGGCTTTGCGTAGGGGCAGAAGGGGTCTTATAGAGATCTACGTAAATGCGTGTCAAGAACTTCCAAAAGTTCTTACCCATTGGGGTCTTTAGACCTTGCTTGGGGGGTCGGGGAGACGTAGTAAGTAGGTTAATGATCAGGATAACTGGGGACATTAAAAGGGCTATAGGGACTATAAACCTACTTACTAAGGGGTTTTCAAGGCAGATTTTTCTACAGTTGTTGGTCAGAAGGATGGCAATGAAACAGCATCTTGTGCTCTGGAACAGCCCTACCATGGGTGGATGCAAAAAGCCTCTTAAACTAGGGTTTGGGGTTCGGGGTTTAGGGTTTAGGGCGACTGAGTTCATTATTCCAAGCAGATAGAAAGAGGCGGAAAAAAGCAAACTGCTAAATGGACCAACTGATCTCTGATAGCCAAGACAGGGACCCTGAACCTCACTTGGAGGGTCAGGGGGAAACTGCTCATGGATTTTCACATACATGTTCGGAAGGAGCACGATGTCCACGATGCCCTAAGTTGTGACAGTCCCGAAAGATTGATGGAGTAGTATTTTCTTTAGAATACCCAAGAAGAATGACAGGCCATTACATTGGAATCTGTCAAGGTAATCACCATACCCCATAAGGTGTAAGATCCACAGACCCCCAAACATCCCTAAGGTCCATTCGTATGAAGAATCAATCATCTTGAGTAAAGGGATACCATTTCCCGAGTTATCCCCCGGAGGCACCTTGACCACCAGCAGCTTGAATCCCAAAAGCACAGAATCCCAGATCTCCAAACCCCAAACCCAGAATTTCTGAGGATTGGAAGTAACAGGAACTGATTGTAACAGGAACCGGGGTTGCGCTGTAACAGACTCCCTGGGCCCGCCGTAACGGGAACTGCCTGGGTTCTATGAGTCCAGGTGACTCTCGAGGGGCTCCAACGTTTCTCTTCAGAGTTTGCTGGA